CGGCTGCACTGCCGCGCCACCGCCTGCTGCGAGTCCCGGAGCGAAGCGGGACACGGCAACTAGCGCAGCTCCGGTAAGTGCTCCAGGCGGATGCGCCCACCTCTCCCTCGGCCCTAGGGAGGCAAGTAGGGGAGAGCTTGAGGGGTTTCCCCACACAGATTGGGGTGGGGTTGTCAGGGATACTTGATGGAAAAGGGACGGGGATTCCTCCTGGGTGGGTTTCAATGGAGCAGATAGAGCAGACGATGGCTGGGGGAGGAGAGGATGGCACGTCGCGTCTCCCAGTCCCGTGGGATCCCGGCGCAATGCGGTGCCCACAGAATCCGAGCTCTGCGGCCACTGGGGCTTCTCGAAGGGAAGAGGCAGAGATGCAGGTGCACGTCTCTAGGAGGCCCCCTGTGGCAGCTGCAGGTCCCCTCGCCACGGTGGTCTGTGACAGACATTTCCTGTGCCCCAGATGTTCAGAGGAAGTCATGACAGAGGCACTCCAGAGCCTTACTCCTGGAGCTGTTTCAAACCAGCCTGCCACGGAAAATCCCTAATCTTGAGAGAGATTTCTACAACTCTTTCCTGTGCTCCTCACGAAGACAAAAGCAAAAAACAAAACAAAACAAAAAACAAATTATAGCCAGAAAAGCATCCTCTGGAGCCAGGGCTTTCTGACAAATGTCGCCTCCATCTTGTCCCAGCCCACCCCCTGCTGAGCCTGGAGTGTAAGTACCAGACTGCTTCACCCCCGAGGATAGGTAGGCCTTGACTGCAGGATGCAGGGTGGATTTGAGTTCCGTCCCAGCTGGTCCCTTGGGAGGAGGTCGCTTCAGGACCAGCAAGGTTGTCTTAAGACCCAGCTCGTGGCAGACAGACAGCCCTTGTTGCTGTCCCCACCCACACAGGGACATCTGTGGCCCAGCTACTTCCTGGAGGCGGCCCTCAGACTCCCCTGCCCTGAGTTCTGTGTCTCTAGTCGCTGGCAGACTGGAGCCCAGCTCACTGCCACTGATGACCCCTGGTCTCCCCTCCCTGACCCCACACAGCCCCCTGGCCCTCCTCAGCCTCCCAGCCCTCTCACTGGGGTGCATGGTGGTCCCAGCCCAAATAGACACAGCAGTGCTAGACTGTTCCCACCACTAGTTCCTTTCATGCCACTCAAGCACAGACAGCCAGAAAAAATCCGGTGCAGCCATACTACCCTGGTCTCCCTGACCCCCCAGGATGGGAGTTATCCCACCTGTGCTCCCGGAGCTGGTCTTTGGGCCCTCACAGTCACTCCATGTGAGGAGCAGCTCATCTTTGAGGGATCATTCCTCTTTGCAAACCTGTCTTCACTAGCCACATCTG